GCACGGTCAAGCGGAAGCGGTGGGCCCTCCTCCAGCGGGCCCAAGTCCGACGGGCGATCACCGCGAACGCACAAAGACGGTTGCAAGACCCTGAACCTCCTCCTTCCAAACCGTCCTCATGGAAGGTGTGGACGGTGCTCTTGTAAAATCGTGTATTGAAGTGTCTTTTCGTATATTTCTTCTCTTGGAATGTATTGCTATGTATGTGTTTGTGCTGCCCGCGTATATTGAATGATATGATGACGGTGACGATGATGATGACGACGATTATGATGATCACGTTGATGGCGATGATGATGATGATGCTGCTGATTCTGATGATGATGATGATGATGAGGGTGACGATGATCATGATGTGATGATGATGATGATGATGATGATGTTGTTGATGATGATGGTGGTGGCGGTGATGATGATGATCACGATGTTGACGGCGATGTCCAGGTTGGCCCTCTGGTCGACAAGCGGGTCAGCCTGGAGCGCACCACTCACAGGCGTTGGAGCCTTCCAGATCTCCTCGCCGCAGGCTGCCCCCCCGTCGACGTCCGTACACGGGCCCAGCTGGCCCTCCAGGGGGCGCTCAAGGCGGACAGCGTGGGCCAGATCCCAGTGTGCCGCCTGCGCGGCGCCAGCCTGGAGTCGACCGCGCACCTCGTCATGCACTGCCCGGGCGCGGCGGCTTGGCGCAGAGCGGCAGCCGCCAGAGGGGCGCCACCGTCGCCGGCCGCGCTGGACGGCTGGCTTCTGGGCGGGGCGGACCCGACGGCGGCGGCGGAGGCTGCACGAGAGGCGCGGGAGTTGGGCGCCGTCGTGGAGGCAGCTGGCCCCCTCAGCAGCGGGGCCGGCCCCGGCAGCCGTGACCGCGCAGGGGGGCCCGCGCGCGCCAACCCAGGCGCGTGCGACGCGGCCGTGGGGCTGCCCCAGCAGGCCACCCGTGGGGGCCCGTGGCCGCCTGGCCGGGCCGCCAACACGGCGCCTGCAGTTGGCGCGGGCCTGGGCCCGCCGCCGGACCTGCCGTGGCGCCCCCCGTCGGCGCAGCACGGGGGCCCCCACCGAGATTGCCAGGGGCGCGCCCGATGCCGGCCCGCAGGCCCGCCGCGGGCCTGGGCGCACAGACCCAGGCGCGCATGCGACGCGCCCGCAGTGCCGCCCCAGCAGGCCGGCGAGAGCGGCCAGCGCCGCACAGGACAACACGAGGCCGGTGCCGGCGGCGGCGGCTCGGCGGGCCGCCGGCCACGGCAGCCAAGGTTGCCCCGACGGCGTCTCCCCAAGGGCCGTCGCGGGTGACCGCCCTCCCCGGGGCGTCCGGGCGCCAGGCCACCTTCGACTACGCGGGCCCACCAGGGTCCCCCAATCGCCGAATGCGGTTCGGTAGTAGCGTCTTGCGCGCTTCTGTTCGGGCCCCCAGCGGGACACAAAAAACCGAGCACCAAAGGTCACTCTTACCCAGGGCCACTCTTGCGCATACCCGACACCCGCGAGCTGGGCAGCCCGCGCCTTGGCCCCCGGCCATGGGGAGCTAACGCAGGCGGCGTGGTATAAGCCGCAGGCGAGTGTAGGCCCCCGACAGCGTGGCCTTGTAGGATGGAGCGCCCAGCCCGCGGGCTCGGGATCGTCCAAAAAGACCGGAAGGAAGAAGGAGGAGGAGGAGGAGGAGGAGGAGCAGGAGGAGGAGCAGGAGGAGGAGGAGAGGGAAGGGGGAGGAGGGGGAGGAGGAGGAGGAGGAGAGGAGGAAGGAGGAGGAGGAGGAGGAGGAGGGGAGGAGGAGGAGGACGACGACGCGACGACCGACACAACGACGACGGACGACCGGACGACGATGGGTCGAGGACGAGGACGAAAGAAGAGTCGAGGACGAGGTCGAGGACTATGACGAAGGACGGAGGAGGAAGGGGAGGACGAGGACGAGAAGGAGGGAAGGAGGAGGAGGAGGAGGAAGAGGAGGAGGAGGAGGAGGAGAAGAGGAGGACGGGGCGGAGGAGCAGGAGGACGGGGGAGGAGGAGGAAGAGGAGGAGGAGGAGGAGCTGGCAAAGGAGGAGGAGGAGGAAGGGGCGGAGGAGGGGAGGAGAAAGAGGAGGAAGGAGGAGGAGGAGAGGAGGGAGGAGGAAGGAGGAGGAGACGGAGTGGGAGGGGAGGGAAGGGAGGAGGAGGAGGAGGAGGATGAGGAGGAGAGAGGACGAGGAGGACGAGGAGGACGAGGAGGCCGAGGAGGCCGAGGAGGCCGAGGAGGCCGAGGATGCCGAGGATGCCGAGGAGGGAAATGAGGGGGACGAGGAGCAGGAGGAAGAGGAGGAGCAGGAGGAGGAGGAGGAGGAGAAAATAGAGAAGAACATGGAAGAGAAAAAGGAGGAGAAAAAGGAGGAGGAGGAGGAGGAGGAGGAAAAGGAGGAGGAGAAAAAGGGGGAGGCGAAAAGGAGGAGGAGAAAAAGGAGGAGGAGAAACAGGAGGAGA